AAGAGGGTCTACAGCAATTAGCTCAGATACAGACACCTAAACTCTGGTTATCCAGAACAGATTAAATGAATCCCACCGCTGGTGTCAGCAAACTGAAACTGGTTTATAATAAAACCCACTTTCTTTTCAACGTCTCAGCTCTGACGTGAAAGTCTAGACAATCACTGACACACAAAAATGAACGTTAGCCATCATTAGACCGAATCTGTGAGAAAAGACAGTGTGTCTTTTATAGATACATTTTTTTCTATAATGCGACTAATTAATCGGCGGATTTTTTAAAAATAAAATGCATCAAATTCCCTTCCCGCTCTCCCGGCTGTTCCCGTCAAGTTGGTGTTAGACAGGACCCAGCTAGCATGCTGAAACAGCTCCCCAATTTCCTTTCCCCTGCTCCATTTCCTTTTCAAATTGAAAACTATTAGGAGTCTTTAGGCAAATAATAGAAACCTAATGCAGGTGCTTGTTATAAATTGTTCTCTAGTTACTTTTAACCTAATGTCTCCTCAAACATTACTTCACAGAAGGCATAGAGGGAAAGAAATGCCTCATGAACTCTGACAATCAGTGGGTCAGGAGTTAAGGTCATAATAATGTAGCCCATTTCTTCTTGTTTGTCTAATGACCTGAACGCAGTTAGATCCCTGGGTCTTTCATCTGAGATTGGCTCCCCTTGGTAAGAACATGGGTCTTGCCAGGAGCAACCCCCAGCTAGGATCATACCCTGCTGTACACCCCTAAGCAGGGAAGGTGACATATGGCTGGAGGTGCCAGGTAAGGGCTAGTTTAGCACTTTGCCACACCCAACACTTTCCTAGGCACAACTTGATGGTTTGCTGGGTCTAGATCTGCCACATGTCTGAGGTTAAATTAATCTATGTTTGGGAAGAAGCTTGATATTCGTAAATAGAAATCACTTGAGAAATTTGAAGCATTCTGCAGGCAAAATAAAATAGGAAGTAAACATTAATAACAAGAAGAGTTAGTAATGACTGGGTTTTATGCAAAATAGACAAATGCACAGAAGTGCCTATTAATTCTGAATCACTGCAGCAAGCATCTAGGCACAAGAGTTGGAAATGCTGCCTAAAATGCCAATGTGATCAGTCAATGTTACAATTTGCCTTCATCATCTAGGTATCACGTGTCTTATTCTCAGAGATAAATTCCTCCTATGTTCACTGGAAATAATATCAAGCATTTTACAGGGGATAAAACTCCAACTCTTATGTATGTACAAAACAAGGCGTTCAAGAGGACAATCTGCCAGTATATATGCTCCTAAACACATCAGGCAACTGTCAGGTTGTTGGAAGTATTTCTCATCATGCTGGGTGCCCTCACATGCAGCACTGAACGGTGCTACATTGGTCACAGATCCCTTTCCCCATTTGGCTCCCCAGTGAGGTGTAAATGTCTCAGAGCTAATGCATAAGTCATGTACACCTGTGTTTCTGAGTGCCGCAGTAGTGAGAGAAAACTCTTGGGTATTTCTGAGCATGGAGGAACATGGATTATTCTTCTGTCATTGCAAATGGAAAATACATGGAGATTTTCTAATGTTTAACACTCAGACTGAATTTGCAAATTCTTGGAAACCATTGCCTCCAGCCCTAGGCAACATCTAAGTGATGTTCTGCAAACTTGTGCACCTTGCCAGGACTGGCAGACACCCCAGGCTGTGTCCACACGTGACTACCTACTGGGGCTTCATGTCACTGAAAGCCGACATATGGAGTTAATTCACCCAAAAATGAACACCCCAAGCACACTTGCTATTACTGTGCGGGTGGATGTTGTGATAGCACACAGCATCGGAGGGATTCATATTCTTGCCGCATCAATAGGTGTTGGGTGCATTTCTTTTTCATTTGTGAATAAATCCAGACTTCACAGAAAATCCTGAGTGTGTTCATCATCTGACACTCATACTGGAAGAGAGAAAGAGTTAAGCTTATTTATGGATAAAATGTTTGAAATAATAAAAGACATCACACAGTGCACTGGACTGATTGGGAGGGGTGAGTAAGATATAGCTCCTGGTCTGCAGGAGAGCAGGACAGCTTCCCCAGACAGTTTGTTCTGTATTTACAGAGCCTGGTGCTTTGACTGCAAGGTGATGGGGGAGATGAGGAGACATATTAGGGGAATGCTAATGTAAGGAGAAGGAAGCAGTTGGTCTCACAGCCCTGAGAAGGAGTATTGACAGAGATCTTCAACGGCAGGCAGAGAGGCTCATGGGTTTCTGAACAAGGGAATTGTATCCTAGTGTAATTCTGCTGTGCTGAGTAAAATATGACTCTGCCTATATTGGTTAATAGACAAAATACAACCAAAAAACTGGATGATTCTTATCATGGACCTTCCAACCAAGTAGAATACTATAAACTGCTCAGTATATACAACTTTCTGAGATGCTGAGTGGGACTCGGGCACCTCTGGTTGCCAGCACGGCCTCATAAATGTTTGGTGTTGGTCCATGTGAAAGACACCGTTAATTAGATGGACATGTGTCTAATCTAAGACTTTCATTCATTTTCTCATGAAAGCAGTGACCCTAAAGCCAAGTGATGTCAAAGCAATTCTAATGTACAGAGTATAAACAACTTACTTTGTAGGGAAGGAGCGGTTTGTCCACCTCAACATTTTATCTAGTAATATAACTGAAATAAACACAAAAACTTTGTAATTGCATTTCTCCATTGCATTCTCCCAGGTGCTCCCATCTTTGCTTCTCAGGTTTTTGAGATTGCCAGCTCTCTTTATTTTTACATATATATAAATACTGCCAAGCACTTTTTTAGGGCCACATTTATAGTAACGAATAGAGATTAAAGTTTCCTCACAGGCATACAGTGATGTGTACTTTGTCACTAATACATGTAACAACTTCTGTATGAGACTGTCACAACCAGGGGTCAGGTGTGATTAACTACATTTTTCATAATACTCATGCCTCTCCTACAAATGTCACAGTGCTACAGTGCCACAGTACTACTAAACCTTTTGGGCTACTATTGTAGCTACCATACTGGTATAAACATGAAATACTTTTGGTATTATTTGCTATTATATATATTATACATTAAGCATGGCAACAGTGCTATAGCATGTCACCCACCACTAGTCCCAGTCTGTGTGGGGGTTATGAAGTATTATAGGCCCTACTTACTAACTGGGATGTCATTGGCAGCATCAGCCCTTTATGTTTAAGATATCGTTTCCTTCTCCATTCAGCTGTTTTCTCATGGCACACCAAAGAATCTTATGAGAGAACATGGCCTCAGCCATAGTGCTTCCAACCCAAAATATCTCTGCAATATTTTGGTTTTTCTGCCAACAATAGGCTTCATCATAAGAAAAAAAAAAAAGCTGAGTCAATAAAATAATTCCTGAAGCTTTTATACAGCTGAAGTAACATCATAGAAACAGCATCACCATTGCCATCACCATCGCCATCACCATCGCCCATGGTGAGATTGTTTCCGTTCCTCTATGGGTACGTGCAGCCTCAGGCCTCTCTTCATCACTGACTCATCAGACTTTGAGGGCTTGATTCAGTTGCTTAAACATGGGCATCCATTGCCACTGACTTAATTTATGGATCTCCACGTGAAATGCATGGGGAGGGTGCAGAACCTCCTGGACAGCCCCACCTCCCTGGTGCAGCAGCAAGAGGTTAGGCAGGACAACAGTGGGCATCTCAGCTGACACTACATGGGTACAACCACACCAACCCCAGCAGTCTGACTTGCTATACTGTACATATCTTTGCCTACACACAGCCACTGTGTACAGCTGTCAAACACAGTCCAACACTATTTGGCTACTTTGTCACATCTCGAAGAAACACCCATCAGCCAGAAAAGTCCTTTTTCCCAAGGGCTGCTCCTTTGTTCTTTGGTATTTAGAGTAATGCATCCTGAAATGTGCTCTTCAATAGATTATTTCAGTCTGGGTTCAGTTCGTTCTTAACTCTACTTTGAAATTGTCCACAGGGCTGAATGAATCATAGAATCATAGTAGTGTTCTGGTTGGAAAAGACCTTTAAGATCATTGAGTCCAACCGTCAATCTAGCACTGCCAAGTCTACCCTAAACCATGTCCTTAAGCACAAAATCAGCGTGGCTCTTAAATACCTCAGGATGGTGACTCCACTACTTCCCTGAGCAGCCTGTTCCAGTGCTTGACAACATTTTCCATGAAGAATGTTTCCTAATATCCAATCCTCCCCTGGCACAACTTGAGACCATTTCCTCAATGAGACAGATTTTAGAGCAAATCCCAGGTCCTGTTGAAGTCTATAATCATTTTGCCACTGACTCCAAAGAAATCAGGATTTAATCCTAGAAAGTCTCTCTCTGGACCAAGAAAGGCAGGTCTTTCCACTGTTATCACCATTATCTGGAGAGGCAGTGGAGGAGCAAAACTGGACTCAGTGATGAATGCTCCACCCCTGAGACCAGAGTGGAAAAGGCACTGAGGTAGCTGCTCTTGGAGAAAGGAAAACTGAGCTGAAAGCCAGTACTGTTTTTTCTCTGAGATTTTAAGAGCAGGTCCAGAAGTATTACTTGCATTTTATTTAGTACTTATAGTGCAACAGCAATGAAACCTAACATTACAGGGAGTGTGTGTTCCCACCAGAAAATGTCTTCAACAGCTCATAAAAACCTGGCCATTTATCAGCACTGCAGGAGAACTTTATTACCTCCCTACAGCATATGCTCTCCTATGATGTATTTATTGATTTAACAAGTAAACTTTGTGGCAAGATTTTATCTTGGAATTAGCATCAAAACTGAAATAGAGCCCTTATTATTCTAATAACACAAAGACGTGAGATTCCTGCATATTCCAAAGGCCATATCATCACCTTTACAAGCATCCCATTAGGGCTGTCTGGGCTGCCACATCAAAGCGTGGGCTGTGAGAACTTTAACAATCGTGACATCATACTCACCCCCAGCAATTTCACAAGCCTTTTGTTTTTCTTCCTACAGGTTTGGACATCAGGCAAGCTCAGGTTATTGTGCTGTCATCGGGTACCAAATGTATAAGTGGGGAATACATCAATGACCAAGGGCTTGCGGTCAACGACTGCCATGCAGAGATTGTGGCAAGAAGGGCATTTGTTCACTTCCTCTACTCGCAGCTGGAGCTACACTTAAGGTAACTAAATTCTGTTGATGCTTGGGGAATGTTACACTGCCTTCAGTGGAACCGATCCATCCTCCAGACATTTGAACTATTTGTTTCTTTATGTTGTTGTTTCCAAGTCTTTAGCTGATGAAGGACAGTACACTGCACAGAAAAAAAAAAAAAAGAGAGAGAATTAGATAGTCTAGAGTGTTGGGTCATGAGCTCCTTTACTTGAGCTGATTTTCTTTCAGTAGCTATTAGATATGACTCATAAAGTTGGGTTTTATGAAGCCTGATGATTTTGTACAAATCTTTACATGCAGGCTTATTAGCATCATTCACTGGCCAGAGACTGGAAGGGGGTCATTTTGCTCACTGCAGCCATTTTCCTGTCTTCCTTGCTGCTGCTGAAATACCTCAAGGAAGTGATTTACTGATCATTAATGCCTTCATTGACTCACTAGAGAACCAATGAGTATTAACAGTACAGTAAACTTTGTGCCAAAGTGCAAGATGCTATCACTCACTCCTTCTTTATGATGTTTTAAAATGTTACAACGTGTAAAATCATTACAGAGGAATTATTGTTCCTGTCTTCAGCCAAACTCACCTGGTTACCATTTAAATGGTTAATGGGTCATGCACTGCCTGGAAACTGGTAATAATTGGGGTACTGCAGGGGTTTATTCTGGTACCTTGCTAATCATGTCCATCAACAACCTATAGAAGGAGATGTAGTGTTTGGTTATAGGCTTTGCATAAGACAAAAAATAGTGGGGAGAACCAGTTGTCATGGTTCAACCTGGGCTTGTAGTAAAGTATCATGCAGCCACTCGCTCACCTCCTCTCCCCCACAGTGCAGGAGAATAGTCAGAAGAAAAGACAAGGAAGTTCATAAAGTTGAGATAAGAACTATTTAATAATTGAATATAAATGAAAATTATAGTGATACTAATATTAACAAAACTACTACTAATAAGTAATTAAAATAATAGAAAACAGAACACATGATAAAATAGCTCATCTCCTGCCAACCAACATAAAATCATGTCCCAGAGAAATGAGAGTCCAGTGCAAGAGCCCACAGAGCCAGAGTCCCAGGGGACAAAAAACCTGACTGGGACAAAACCCAGATGAGTCCCCAACCCCCTAACAAAGGAACCTGAGCCACCACTAACAACCACAAGAGCTAACAAAGGAGCTAACCACCCAGCTATCAAGCTAGCCCAAATCATAACGACACCCTCCCCAGGCCATTTCCCACCTCCAAACTGCGCATGTGCCCTGAGCCTGATGTAAGGTGGAATGAAGCACTCCCTTGGCCACTCTGCGCCAGCCAACAGTACTGTGAAGAAAAGGAGCTCGTTCCTGCCTGAAACCAGCACACCAATTGATATGCTTGAGGGCTGGGCTGTCATCCAGGCAGGGTGGAGAACTGGGACAGCAGAAACTTTGACAGAAAACTCAACAAGGTCAGATAGAAAGTCCCACACTGAGGAGGAAAGAACAACCTGCAGCAGCACAGGCTGGAGCCGTACTGGCTGTGGAGCAGTTCTGAGAAAAGGGACAGTGTTTGTAGGCAGACAGCAAGCTGAACATGAGATAGTAGTGTGCCTGGCAGCAAAGAGGCTCAACAGGATCCCGGACAGCATGAAGAGTCAGTTAAGGGATGTGATCATCCCTCACTACTCAGCACCCATTAGACCATACGTACATTTGTGGTTTTGGGTCCCCCCGTTCAGGAAAAACATCAGCAGGGTCAGCAGAGGCCATCTGGAGTCTCGGGGGCCAGAGCACTTGGTCTGTGTTGAGGGAGCTGAGCCTGGTCATCCTGGAGATGGGATGGCAGACCCAGCAGAACATATGTCAACAGTACAATGGAGATGGCATCTCTACTGAGGTGCACAGTGGGAAGATGACAGACAACAGGCACATACTGAAACAAGAGAAGCTCACTCTGAATATTAGGACAAACTGTTCCCATGGGAATAGCTAAGCAGTGGAAGAGGTCCCCCCCCATGACTGTGCAGTCTCCCTCCTGCCTTGGGATAACCTGAGTGGATAAAACCCTGAGCAGCCTCATAAACTGCTCTGAGTAGGAAGTTGGGCTAGAGAGCTGAGGTCCTTTCCAGCCTGAATTATCCTATGAAAACTGAGCAGAAGTGAAGCTGAGGTGGCATTTATTATATGGAAGGAACCAAAGAATGAAGGAAGCAAGGAAAGAAACAAAACCCCCTTACCTTTTTCTTCTTTCTTATGCCCCCAATTCTTGCTTGAGTTTTCATGTGACTTTATCTGAAGGCCATTAACCTCAAATGCAAAACCTGTCTTTGACTTCAGAAGGTTTTGCACTAGGTCACAGCAAAAAGGATTAATCTGAGCAGGACTGTATGTTCTTGTGAGCCACTGTGATACTCTTGCACCAAGACAATGATAATAGGAATATTGGTTATTTTCACTTCAGGCTGGCGTTGAAGACAAGAGAGTATATTCAATAGATGAGCTTGGCTAACAAAGGGGGACAAGAGCCTTGAAGGATTTTATCAAAAACAATATTCTCTCTATTTCAATCTGATTTGCTTTCAAGTTTACATCAAATTACTAGCAGCCCTAGTACTCGCTTTGTGCTACAGTCTCTTGGGAAACAAGTGCTACCACTGTATCTTAAACTATTGTATTGATCCACCTCCCCAACATGTTCAGTCATATTATTATTTTATTTGGATCAATGTTAACAGTCTTTTGTTAACAGAATCATCAGTGTAGCACAAGCTCTGTTCACAATAACTTCAAATCACTCTGTTCAGCCAAGAGCAGGCACCACTGCTTCCCTGACCAGCAAACATGATAAAAACCTCAACTAAAATTGCAAGGCTAAGTATCTTTGAAAGACAATGCTGGAGATATTGTAAAATCAGCGTTTGCTTCCTTAAAGTCCATGGGGAAGACAAAATGTGTTAGAATATATTCTTCAATTCTAGTATTTATTACTGCACTCAGTTTTAGGCGATCACCAGGAGCTTTGTCATATGGTGAGAAAATGGGGTTGCTCAAAATGAAATTAAAAATTAATTTTCTGCACACTGAAGTCACATTTACCTCTTTTTCTCTAGAAAAAGATAGACAACTTTCACTGACAGAGAAATCACATGGTGCTAGCGCATAGCTAAAATGACAGGATTTTTAGGACAGACATTAACTCAGCTCCACTGGGACTTCCTGCACAACAGCTCTTCAGCCTTGGAGGAAACACAAATGTGGCTTCTGCATTATTATGCATTTGCATTAACCTAGCCCCAATTAAAGTCCTCTCCCGGGCCAGGAACCTGTTGTACAAAGTCATATATGAACTGAGACCAAAAGAATGGTTCCTTAATCTAAAAACAAGAATGAAAGCATAGTTCTTGCCTCAAAGAACTTAAATTTTTCATCCCTCCCCATGAAACAGGCAGATTTGTTCTGTCAAGGGTATTACCTATTTTTCACATATCTTCCTCCCACCTAGCCTACCTGTCAAAGTGATGTCCACAGCTGGATTTCAAACTTTGGGAACTTCCAGCTGAATAATGATTTTCCTATATGATGCTGTCCTTGAAAAGGAACCACTTTTCTAGAATTCACAAATACTACCATTAACCTCAGTGAAGGCAAGGCACATACTTACTTGAGTGAAGGCTTCAAAGAGAAGGGACAAGGAAGCTGAAGAAAGCAAGCACCAGGATAGAGAATTCATGGTCAAAAGAGTTGGACTTGCTCAGCTGAATTTACTTCTTGACACCTCTCTTGAGATGTCTGAAAGTTAGTCAGCTGGGCATGAACTAGATCCTCAAGGATCACCAGTGGAGAGAGATGGGCATCTCTGGAGTGGGACTCAGCAGAGATATTCAAGTATCTATTGTGGATGAGATGAATTGCCATGTACTGGGGCAAATTTTTCTTCATTTCTATAAAGACAGCATATGGTGACTGCTTCAGATATTTGAACTGTAGAACAATCCCATGCACAAGCCAAAGTTGCAGCAAAATGTAAGTTACATCTTTTCATTCTTTTTATATTGCTAAATGTTAGAGGTGTGACTTCCCTGACTTTTCTTGGGAGAGTTCCAGAATGGGAACTTTATCCTCTCTAAGAAGCAAGAGTGACAAAAACTTCAAAAGAAAACTTTTTTTCAAGAATTCATTGCCTAGAGCTCAAGTTAAATAAAAGCTAAAAGCACAACTAAAACCTGACAGCTTCTAACCAGTCTGATTAAAACCCTTAGCCCTCCCAGATTTCATTTTTATTACAACCATAATCCTCCAGTTCTCAGGACTTTCACGAGAAGATGAAAAGTAAGACATAAATTTTCTGATGTACAAAAAGACAAGAAAGACCTTTTGAGAAGCTTTTTCTAAAAATCACCATCAAAAAGTACACAAATACCATAGTCTGATTCTCTTGCAATAAAGAAATTCACATTTATTTCAGTGGCATTATTTATAATGACTGGCCAATATAGAAGAAAAGAAAATCCAGATCTTCTTTTTTAAAGAAAACCAAAACTAATAGCTTATTCTTAAAATAAATCAGCACCATGGCAGTCTTGCTGCTGTAGTGGCCCTGCAAGCGCCAGAGGGACGATTTTACCAGAAGTTAAGTTCTTCCAGCGAGTCCAATGCAACCTGCTGTTTGTTTTATACATAAAAAGTGAGGAATTGTCTTCATCCAGTCCAATTATAGGATTTTTTCCAGGAAAACCAGCTTCTTGTTATACATCTACCATTACTTACTTTTGTCCTATTAGCCTCTTGGTGGACACAGCTCCTTCCCTTTTAAGCTTGCTGTTAGTTTCTCTAGAATGCAGTACTGGAAACTTCCCGTACATATGTTTGCATGCTAAAAAGAAGCTCCCCTGCTTCTCTTTTAGAGAGTAAGGCCTTGTTTCAGCAAAACACTTTGCATACATTAAACCATAAGTATGTGCTTAAATCTTCTTGAAGTCAGCTCAAAACATATGCATGTGTTATGATAAATCATGATTTTTTAAGCACAAGTTTAGAATTGAGCACGTTCTTAAATGTTGCTCTTGAATCAGCCTCATATCCTAACCCTCCCACAGAAATTCATAACAGGAAAAGGTTTAGGGATAATTTCTGCTCATTTAGGCACTGCTAGCATGTGGAAATGACAACCCCCTGAATGAATGACAGTTGTGTGCTCACTGCAGGCTTCTCTCGTCATTGCTTTGTGCAGGTGTGCGTGGCTGTGAAAAGTGCCATTGCAAGGGGCTGCTACTGCAAACTCGTTCTCCCCCTCACAGCTCAAAACGACTGTCGCAGAGGGAAGGCAGATGTGTACCGGTGCTGGGGGAGAAGTGATTTTGCAGAAGTGCATCTCATGCTCCACTTGGCCCACTTTTACAAGGTCCCTGGGTCCCCCTGGGGCTTTGAAATCCCCCAAGTATCCCATGCATCATTCTGCTAAGCCAAAGTAGACGGTTTTGCAACCCAAACTTTTGTAACAATACTCTCAGAGTTTCATTATTAAACCTATTCAACCACTGTGCAGGAATGAAACTCATGTTTGAGTTCAGCTCCCAGAAAAACATCCCAAAGGCAGGTCAGGACCATATGTGATGTAGAGGATCTCAGCCTCTCGGAGGAAGAGTCAAGCTGCCTTGCCCTCCAGCCCTGCCATCTATTTTTATAGCAGCTGTCCATCACCCAACGCATCAGCCATACTGGCTGCAGACCCTTCTTGGTACTCAGGGAAAGGGAAGAGATCTAGGTTAATCAGGGAAAAACAATAACCAGTAAAAACAGGATGGGTGTTGATTACTGTGAACTCCTGAAACCCGGCCCAAAAAATGACTGCTCCAACCCTACATAGCAACTGTTTCTAAGTACTGCAAGCTGCCCCCTACTCTGGTAAGGTTTAACGTGATAATAGTAGGCGTTAGGACTGCACAGCTTTGTATCCTCCCACCTGATTTCACAGTGAATTATTTAAAACTAACCGCTACTGCTCTAAAGTCCAAGCAGCAGGGCTTACAGGTATTCTGTTAATTCCAAGGCTCATATCAGTGCAATAATATAATTAGTGCAGTTGGGAAATTCCACCACAGCCAGCAGAAAATGAAGGAGCTGCATGTGGCAGCCCCAGCTCGGCAGCCAGCGTGGCTCCCTGTCCCTGACAGGCGAGCTAATGTGCCTGTAAATTCCTCCTGACAGCAAACGCATCCCAGCATCAAAAAATTACAAAACACCCAAACCATAGAAGAGTGACAGCCAAACAGCTTCAATAGCACATAGGTTGCACCAGGAGAAAACACGCAGAGGCAGCTTGGATTAAAGCCAAGGACTTGCTCTGAGGCTGAGTAGAAAGCACCCCTGTTTGCACTAACGGGAGGCAGAGAATCCAGTAGAAATCGCCTTGGTTAATGGGCTGTTCTATAGTGAATTAAGTGGGTAGGATTCTGGCTTATTAATAGCCTCCTAGGAAAATCATTACCTGCACGTGCTGTTCTGCTCAGAGATATTCAAGCAAAAAGACCCTTCAGTTTTTGAGGGAAGGACCGAGGCATCAAAGGGAAAGGAGCCTTTCATCATAATTTCACTAATAACATTTTCACCTTCAAAATTATAATCACAACTATCACCCAAATGTATGTATTAGAGGCAGCTGTCTGTCAGAGAAATCACCCATGTCTTCTCAAATGTAAATCATCTGAGGAACGGCAGCGTAGCCTTAATGTGAGCTATCACTGCAAACTGCAGGACTGGGAGGGTTTGGCCTCCCGGGCAGCTGTGGCTAATGGAATATGTGCGCTGTGTCCCCATCTAGCTGCTGAAACACTGCGAAGAGAAAAGCTTCATCTTAATAAGTATCTTTTTCAACTCAGCTGAGAAAAGCCTGCCCAAGTTCTGTCCTCACTTTGCAGGACGGCTTCTGGTTTCCAAAAATGCCAAGTGACCAGGAGGACACTGCTGGCTTAGACGCTCTGGTTGAACAGAGAACAAAAGAAATGCGTGGGGAGCAGGGAGGCTTGGCAGGGGTAGTAAAATCTGGGTGCTTCTTAGAGGCCCTTTTCAGTGGAGCATATAAACACTCATCTCAGGTGCAGTGATGTTAATGGGATTTAAACATGTGCCTAGGCACTGTGATGAGCAGAGCTGATTTGTTCACATAAGAGCCTAAGAGAACTTTTCCTTCCTCCATGCACCAGAACCTCTTTAAAATCAATGTGTTTATGCAGCCGTGCATGTGAGAAAGCAGAGTTACCCTTCAAAAATCCACGTTTTATCACTAGAATATATTCTAGGTAAGCTAGCCAAAAGCACTGTGACAGTTTTGACCCTCTTCCACACATTTCTTCACTTGGAGAAGCTTATTGTTTTTCTCTTGTTGTCACTAGGCGAAATATATGATGCCAGGTGCTAATAAAAACAAACAAACAGAGGGAGAAAAACAGAGAGAGAGAGAGAGAGCTGAAATGTTTCTGATTTGGCATGTAACAAATGACCTGGAACCTCTTTTGTGATCGTAGCAAACGGCGAGAAGACTGGGAGCGATCAATCTTCGTGCGATTAAAAGAGGGAGGCTACAGGCTGCGGGAGAACATCCTGTTCCATCTGTACGTGAGCACTTCACCCTGCGGAGATGCACGTCTCAACTCCCCCTACGAAATCACAACCGACTGTAAGAAAAAAATCTTCCCTCTCCTTTTTACCCTTTTTTTTTTTTTTTACGACTAAGCCTTCTTCCTTTCTTTGCTTGAAGAAAATGTGTTTCACTTGAGAGCAGAAACAGGCTGTGTGGCATGTGTGTGTCTCTGCAACTGGTGTTACGTACTGGGGGAAAGTGTGCAGGGAAGATCAGAGCTGGGCAAAGTAGCGAGACACTGCTCTACATGTCTGAGGCTTAGTGGCTCCCAAAAATGTGCATTTCCTGCTAGGAGTTGCAACCCCAACAGTAAATAAATGTCTTGGGAAGGGTCCTCATGGTCTAAGAGATACTTGGAGCAATGCCCATGGCTGGACCAGAGGACCAAGTCACCAGCTGGGGATGCATAGACTTTTCTTACACCAAAACTGAGCTGTCCAGGCTGCAGCAGCTGGAGTCTGAGGCAGAGCAATGATATGATATGCTATGATATGATATGATACATGATATGAGACATCTGTAGTGTTGGTCAAAGTTCAGGCTCTCCAAATACCACCTGATTTTCCAGCGAATAATGCCAGGACCCTACAGGAAAGGATCCCTCCCAGGCCATCCTGCCTACATCAGATCAACCACATGGTCACTGCTTGGCAGATGCTCTAGATGGAGCCCACCAAGCCAGTCTTGGAATCCCTGGGTCCATACCATTTAAGCAGAAACATGGTTTTCCAGGGATTTCTCCTCTAGAGGTGATCCTACAAGTGAGGGAAACAAATCAGGTCTTGACCCAGTGTGTGTGCCACCCGGAGAGCTGCAGAGCTTGTTGTCTGTGAAGGGACATCCCATGATGTCACCTCACCACATGACCCAGCACTCTCATCTCATCATTCTCCCCAAACATGAATGTCCCTGCCATTGCCCTGCCTTGTGTACCCACTGCACCAGCTTTGCCCCTGCCTAGCCTCAGGAAATGCCCCCAACAAGGGACAGGAGACTGGAGTGGTCTGTGCCTTGTTATCACATGTGTCTGTCACTCCGTGATCCAATGCACAATGCACAAGGTTCACTCTTAGCTCTGCCCCTGGGTATTGCTTCTCATACATCCGTTTTACAGTGCTGTAATACCCATAGCACTGGTTGCTATACATAGTGCTGTACATATAATGAGAAATAGTCCTTGCCCCAACTACCTTGAATGTGAAGCAGGCAAGACGGAAGAATGGATGGAAGAGGAAGCATAGGCACAGGAATGTAAAATTAATCATCCAAGGTCAAACAACAACCTACCTTCCTCACAGGCAAATCCATCAGACGGTAGTTTCACTCCTGGTTCTTATTTGTACAAGTTATTTATTAATGATTAGGTATTATTCTCCCCAGACTGGAATCTTTTTGTCATGTGTGAAACAGCAGCTTACTGAGGCGAGAAAGCAGAATGCACCTATTCAAGAAGGAAATACACTTCCTTACCTGACATAATTTCTACATTCTGCTAGCAGGGTTTATAAAATGAAGAATATCAAGTAAATATTTACAAGGCAAACAGCAAATTGACAAATTCCTGGTGAAGTAACAAAATGAGAAGTCATAGCATCATCTTAAAAACAAAATTAAAAGCAGAAAAGGAAGTGCCTATGAAAATCAAAACCAGTGATTTTTGGCCTCGCACTTTGTGTCTATCAAGAGATATAAAAGGGCTTTATATATGGTTAAATATTTGGTTAAAGACCCTCATGTTTTCCAGAAGACAGGCTTCCTGGGGCAATCCTTACTTGGCATTGGAAGTGAAAGCACCAAAATCTGTAATTATTTTTAAAATGTGGTCCATTCTCAAGAATTACTAAAGGCTGTCAAGGGTGGATTCTGCTCTTTCATGTATGAGGAAGCTGGTGCTTTGGGCAGCTGACGGCCAGCGCTGCATATTGAGACGCAGCTGAATCCAGCCCTGGAGGTGAACTGTACTTGGATCATGGATTGCTTCAACAAACACGTAGACCTGCCAGCTGATGACGGAAGGCTTCTTTAGACAACAGTACAAACAGGAAGCTCTGTTCAAACACATAACAACCCAACACCTGACACTCATTGAGTAAACTTGTAGGTAGTCACAAATATCCTTTTCATGATGGTTATTACACCAGCTATTGTGCCAATGCAGAGGTTGAGGCAGAAAGGGTTGTGTGCCTCACACAAGGTGACACAATGATTCAGTAGCAGGACTTGAAGGGCACTACATCTGGTTTGTATTTCACGTTTTTAAGCAGATTTTGTCTTGTCTTTGTCTTGTGCTCTTAAAATAATTTAGCACTGTATAAAAAGCTATGTTGCCAAAAGCTGTCCTCCTGTGAGATAAGCGTTTCCTTTTAGCTCACATTATCCCAGAGACATCTGGGAAGATAAGTATTTTATAATGTTTATCATTCAGATCTTTTTTTTTTTTTTTTACTAAAGAAATAACCTTTCTTTCATCCAGTAATGACAAGAAACTCCAGATGAATGCTGTTTCATTTCTTAAACAACAAAGAAGCCTCTCCTAGAGCTAGCACAGCCATCAAACAGTACTGATTATTCTCTAAAGATGCATTAACATTTAAAAACTATGTCTCGCCATGTGGTTTCTGGTTTTGCGAAGGAACATGATAAGCCTTTATCAATATAGGGAGTGAGTAAAATCCACTTCTCAAATCTGCTTCCAAAAATTTCCTATTATCCACCGTGTCTTCCCAGCACCCTCAGGGAGGCCTCACATTTCCTTCTGATGAGCTTTGTTCTGGCAAGGGAGGAGGTAAGCTAGCATGCACTTGAAACCCAGTTTACTTCTTACAAGATAGTGCAGGGTACCAAGCTGGTGGCAGGTGTAGAAGTCTGACCTTACCATGGTTCATGTGAACTGCTGCAATGCAGAGGAGAGTCCAGGGAGCCCGCACCCATGGTTCATGCAGGAAAAAAAGAGATTAGAGGTAAAAAAGATAAAATTTCTCTTTGATTTGCAATGATACTCTTCTTGGATCAGAGGTGAGCTGACTTATTTGTTGATACATCCTTAGGAAGCTCTAAAAGAGAGGCAAAATCCAGCTGGAACAGGGGTGATCTGAGCATGGAAGGATTTTTTAACACTTTTTACGTTGCTGTAGATCAGGAGACTGGAAGAGCTTATGGGGGTATTCAAGTGAAGTTGAAACTTTGGGAGAGACAGGTACAATCCAAGAGGGTAGGGGAGGAGGCTGAGAGGAGATGAGCAGGAGCAGGTGACAGCAGGAGAGGAGACCAGCCGGTGTCAGGGGTGTTGCAGGAAATGCCAGAGAGGTTTCAGACAGTTAGAGGGTTTTTATGGGTTTGTCCTGGATCATTCTCTACAGCCAGTCTCCTTCTCAAGACTCATTCTCCAAGGTCACCCACAAGGTTGTAGCACAGCTATATGTGGAAGAGGCAGCATGTTCCCAGTTTCCTCACCACCTCTAAGTGCTCCTTCACACACTCAGCTTCTGCCCCTGTTTCAGTTCAGTGCTGTAGGCCTGGGAGCCTGGGACATCTTTCCTGGTGCCTTCTCCTTGTGTGTACATCTGAGCAAGGTATGCCTGGATTTCTGGCTTCTCCTGAGGGTAGTATCACAGCACCAAGTTAACATGGTTTTCCTGCAAGCGTTAAGGGGGCTGATGCTTTCCATTACAGAACACACACTTCAGCTCATGAGGTGGAGCCATGGGGGCAGCTAGCCCTGTAGTATTTGTTGCATATTTTACACCTTGCCCTGAATCTAGGGCAAACCATAGAATAATCAAGTCCTTGATTTTCTAAAGTGCCTTCCTAGCTAATTTAGGGCTTCTTGACTCTTTGGGCTTTTTCTTTTTTTTTTTTTTTTTTTTTTAAGAGTCTCTTGAAAAGCAAAATGGATTGCTTAAAAGTTTAAGCTAATAAATCCTCCACTTCTCCACTCCTCCTTCCCTGCCAGGATTTTACCTTATTGTCCAACTTGCTTCTAGAGATGCACTCTCTCTTTTTTACTACATGGATTGCCAGAGAGAGTCTGCCCCAGGGCTTGTTTCCATTTTTCTCCCCTGGGCTGCTTTTCTATCTCTTGCTAACATGCTGTATTGCCTTGTACCATTGACTCCTTGATAGCCCAGCTCCTGTTTTATCCCACGCTCCCTTTAGGTCTGAAACACACCATTGCATCTGCTCCACATGGGGTCTTCCTCCTGCTTGTCTATTAACCTACAGCTGTGCTGAAGCTCTCATGCACACATATTTGTCAGAGCTCTCATCTAAAAAGGATCCACTTGCAACCACGTGAGCCGAATCATTGCCTTGGTAGGTGATGTGATGGGGAGATGTGCACTGCAGTTTTCAGAGAAGTTGGGGAACTGAAGAGTACCTGGAAAGACAAGTTTGTGCTCCCTACTTCAAGGTGCTTTCATTGGGCAAATCTATCCTTTCTCTGCTTGTGACTCTGGCTGCTGGATTCTACATTCCATTCTCAGATATAATGTCCTCTGTTAACCCCTAAGCATTTCAAGTAGAACCATCTAAATAATTCAGTGATCTGAAAAGAAATTAGATTTCTGTAACTACAAGGAAACGCAGGTCCTAACAGACTGATATACTGCCCCTGTTACAAAAATTGAGGGTAACCATAGGTCATTCCTTGGACTTGGACACTGTTAGTTGTTTCTGTTTTGCAAGTGCTCCCAGGTATCATCTCGATTCCGTGTGACTGCTGGCCTGTTGCAGCTTGGGAAACCATACTGGAAATTTGTATCTAGTCGGTGCATGGAGCAGCTTCCTCGTAGGTTCTAAAGTGGATTTTATGCTGATGAATGGCCCATCTGTGCAACTGGGATGAAGGTGCATTATTTTTCTATTTTTCATATGACTGATCAGAACAATACCTTGGGGGACCTCAGAACAAAATTATCATAGAGAACCATGCCCAGAAGTAACACGAAAGAAAAAAATAATGCACGCAACTGTGTAGACTGTAGCACTGAACGCTGCCTCGGGAGAAATAATCCTAACACTGGATGAATTATTGTGGT